AAAGGTGAACTCATATATGCTATGATGAAATGACCTCAAATACTTTCTGAATTTTGAAAGACTGAAACATTTTTATTCAATAACAGATATATTTAAAAAAATGAGAAAGTCCCATCAACTTCTATAACTCTTTTTAATTTAGCAAATATAACTAATTTTAAAATAAGCTAGAGAGAGATGCTAGGTTATTAATATCATTAAGTATTATTATGCAATTTCATTTCAATTTATTTTTGAGGAGTTAAAAGACATTGAAGTTTGGATCTTACAAAATGGCCATCAGCAGGGGTGTGGAGGTAATATATTCTTACTGAATCCTTGCCAACTTATTTCTCTATTAATTCACATAAGTTTGAATTAGACCTTGATAGAGTTTCAAAGAACAAAATGTGAAGGAACTAATTTTTCTTTACAATGGCAGTCACATGCTAATGATCACAACAGGCATTTTTCTTCTTAATTACAATTCATTTTTGATTGAATTAGTATGCTCATCTGAAATTACCTTGTGATTAAGGAAAATCATGAACTTTGTACATTTCTAGAATTTAAAATAATTTTTTAAACATTCAGCATATCATCTACCAGAATATTTCCCCCTTATTAATTGCTATGAACACGCTGTTCATGGAGTAATTCATTATTTAAGGAAACTTTGCAATCATTAGTAGCAGACGTTCACATTTCTTGTAAGGCAGGTCAATGTAATAATTGCAAATAAAAAATTCCAGGTTAGGTACTAAAATATTAATGAATATTGCATATGTACAATTGCTTATAATACTGTGCCATATTCCCTAGCATTTAGAAAGCTGCCACTATGTCGTGATGCCAATATATCCTAGTTACATGTTATTTGGGCTCTTTAACACTTTGTGGCAACCAGAGGGCTCTGTGTGAGCTAACATTGCTGCCTACAAAGGCTAAGTGGCCTATAAGACCTTGAGTAACTGCTTATCTAATCAGGCAGTTGGTTAACACCGGAATGACAGAAGGCCTCAAGGTGACATGGTCTAAAAGACAGCTGAGAAAGTGGGACAAGGGACAAGCACAGCCATGTACTGAATGGACACACTGGGGAAAAAGAGTTAGTAAGTAGAATAAAGTCATTTCAGTCCACAGCTCCAGAGCAAGGAGTGCAGGTAAGAAGAAAGCAGCAGTTTTTCCTGCAGACATCATGGCTGGAGTTTGGCCAAGAAGAAATGAGGCCCCATCAAATGTAAAATGCTTCTACCACCCAATTCCAGGTGCTCCAGGTCATGGCCCCCACTCAGCCACTCCCAGAATAATTTTGTTACAACATGAATAGCTGTCAATGAAACAGGTAAATGGTCATTTGAAGTGGAGCAAGTGTTGGTCTTCCTAGCCACTACCTCCTACTTAGTGAGGGACGTCTGGGAGGAGGTATGGAGAAGTACCAGTGAAGGAGGCGAAGGGTTTGGATTTTGCTTAAAGGGTTAAGTGGAGGCTGTGGCATTCCT